AGATAACATTTTCTCGTGGCGATCAGCCCTGCCGTATCAACGAATCGGAGCCGGTTTCCACACCAGTTCTTGACCGTAATGCAGTAAAAGCAATTGTAATGTGTGGATGTGAGTTACGATCCCAAACATGAATGCCATTTGCAAATTTGACACTGCGGAGTGCAGGACAGAAAGATGTTCGAGTAAGGTAGCAAAAGGAATTTAGAGTTTGACTAGATGGGTAAGATGATTTGCAGGATTCTGTAGTGCTAGTACAAGAAATGTCATCATAATCAAGGACACTGCATGTATAACCGCATACAGTTGACGAATTCTTACTGATAACTATGTATCACTTAAATGTTTGTTTTTTAGAATCAGTTGAATCCCAATGATTCGTTGTCCTCTATGAAGAAAGTTGAAGTTTTGCAGCAGGACCGAAAACAAAGCGATGCCCAGCGGTCCATCGCTTGCTCATCAGCTTTACATTCAGCCCCTCTGCGACTTGTGAGTTTACTGCCATAAACGGCGAAACCGATGATCAAGCTTCTGCACGCCCGTTAGCGTTTTCAGTCGTCTCATATTCCAGCTGAGACGAGGAAGAGGAATTGCTTTATGATACGGTGGAAGACTCCAGTCCATGCATCAGCAACGTACAGTATGATTAGTCGAATGTCGCGCAGTTGCAGCTTTTCATCATCATGTTACTTTTCATAGAACTAGCGATATTGGAAGTATGCTGAATGTTGCGAAAGACGTAAATGCGATTAGTTCGTTTCCGTTCGGCGCCTTCGTTGATCCGGAGATGGAGAACAAGCACGTTAATTTTAATTGTACTGGCATTTTGTTTGCAGTTCTGAACTTACTATTTTTTTAGCTAAGTATTATTTTTTTCCGTCATTAATACAGTACTTTAGCACTGTTTTCAGCCAAGGCTGCCTTTTGCCCCCTCTGTTGTACACCGATAAAACATCACGCTGCGGGCAAGGTGATGGATGTATCGGTGTAGGAGATGTCAAGAGAGGAAGGTGGCTGTTTGCAGAGGGCCCTGTTGGAGCAGCGACGTCTTTAACTGATTCATGGCGTTCTCTGGAAAGGTTCGGAACTCAAAGTGACGTTAGGGGCATGCATGCAACCGTATCTACAATGAAAAGCATAGTGCAATCTCTTTTCCTGTCCTTTGGTTTAGTGAGATTAACGTAGAAGCAATGGAACAAGTTAAGAAATACAGACACCTCAGAGTCGTATTTAGTAGTGAAGGAAAACTTGAAGAAGTGATCGACCGACGAATAGTCCGATCAACTGTGACTAAAGCAGAGCTGAGTCTGACAACTAAGCTCTCGGTGTTCAAGTCGATCCTTATCACCATGGTTACCTACATGAGTCATGGACCATGACCGACAACTCTGAAACCGGGTACCAGCTGCTGAAATGGGCTTTCTTAGACGAGTCGCTGGCCTTACGGGTCTAGAAATGGTCCGGAATGCTGACAACGGGAAGAGCCTTGGTGTGCAGCATTTGCTTCTCCAGACTGAGAAGTCACAACTGCAACGGTTTGGCCATGTGTTTGCGAATGTCTCCAGGAGAGCTAAGCAACTGTTTTTTGCCAAACTGAACGTCAAAAAGCACAGGGGACGGCCAAGATTAACCTGGTGGAAATGTATGGAAGGAGTCCGTTTAAAACTCCAGTTGTCTTCTGCCGAAGCTTAATCCCTGATACAGATCGGGAACGTTTGAAGGCCTATGTGACGCGTCTGTCTCTGCTACGCGACAGGACAAGCGGTTATGGTAGATGAACATGTTTTGTAAGGTAAATCTGTGTAGGAAGAGAACAATGTAGAGCCAAAGGGTTACCATCGACAGATATTATCTTGATACGAGCATTATGAATAGGATCAGGTTAAGCAGAATAGATTTAACTAATTTGCTTCAAACAACAATTGTCATATTAGAAACAAATATTTTTTAAAGCAGGCGGTCAAAGATTTCTACTCAAAATAATGTAATCGACATCCTCACTTTCCGGAGAGGTAGAGTCCACAGCGAAATTCATGCTACGAAAAAACTGGCGGCTTTGAATGTTGCTTTTAAACACAGTCGAAACCACTTTCGTCACATGACAGTGTGTCGCCATCCGCAAGAGGACTTCCATTAACATGCGACCGATGCCGCGTCGCTGCCAACAGCGGCAGACCTGGATCTCATAGCAGTAGAGCACTGCGTCCCCGTAGTCTTCGTCAAACCTGAAGTGAGTAAAGCCGACTAAACGTTCGTCGTTGAAAACCACCAAGTACAGTGCCTCGTCTTCTCGCATTTCCATCCTCTTCGCAGATTCAACCCAGTTCCACGAAGAGTTTTCGTACAAAAGCTGCATGTTTTCTTTCAGTAAGCCGAATAGCTCGTCAAACATTGTTTGGCATAGTTCATGAACCGGGTAAAATTCCAGTTTGAACCCATGCCTTCTGAACTTGGTGTCAGCTTCAACCGCTAAATTTCTGACCATGCGCTTTGCCGATTGTATCAATTCCGCGGTATCTGCGTTCTTTTCGTATAACAGCCTCTCCATCACAGTAACATTTTGTTCCAAATCAAGCGGTTCTGTGATTCTACAGTACGATCAAAGATCAGCAGGTTCCATTAGAAAACTTTTCAAAAATAATTCTATCAAAATCGTCGTACTCTGTCATAAAAGTTGAATAATTCGTGTTAAATTACAGCTAAATAAAATTTAATTAAACTCCGCCATTGTGATCCTGATGATCTCTTTGCGCTGCAACGTGTCAGCGGCCGTCATGGCGTGGATGAATTGAAATCCTTTCACACAATGGGATGTTTAACCCCAGCTGTAGTAAGTTCGAAACAGTATTAAGCTTTGGGAATTTATTCAGTTAATTTCTGATTATTATGTTAGAATGGCGAGCGGCACCGGTCTACGACGATTTGTCATGACCATTTAGGCTGGCAAGCTGTTTCAGCGTCGATCGATAGTCGTTGCGAATGTGCAGCCATGTGACGCGAGTCTGAATCTGTATGATCGGCACGTAGTCATCTCGATAAATCATTACGTCCCACACAACTCCGTACCCGGAATGCGAAGCTTCTTTCAAATCACTGAATTTCTACAATCTGCGTCTTAGTTTATGATTTCATTTTTTGAATGTGAGAAGTTATTAGTTCAGTGCGCAAGGTCACAAGTCAGATTAATAAACATCAGCATGTTCATCATTTAAAAACTAACGAAGAGTTTTAGGAAAATACAGTGCCAAAAGTCTATCAAATTAGTAAATTTGATAAAGTAAAGAATCATGGTTTTGTTTTTTGTCAGCGGGAATCCATCAAATCTGTATGATTGCACTTTGCTGACCTTATACGATATTGCATATTAGTGATAAACTTACTTAGAGCACGATACGAATCAACTGTCAAATTTATAAATTTCCAACATTTCTGTTTTATTTAATGGTTGTGACTATATTTACGATACTTGATAGTCAGAACAGGTCATATTTGTTTTTGCTGATCTCGCCTTTTGTTAAACTTATGAGCAATGCAGACAACTTCAGTTTAGAATTTTCCCCTAAAAAGTGGCGATTTTTCTGCCGGTCGACTTTTCACGAACAGAAGTGTAAAATGTAGATGTACAAGAATTTTCAGAAAATTTTTTGAGAATTATGAAGTCAGTCATTTTCAGTAGTTAGAGGCATCATGTAGTTGTTCGTTAATCTAGCTGTATAACAAACATGAATCCATTTTTTCTGTAATGCTATTATAACTTATTCCATTGTACACTTATTTACTAGTTAGGCCATTTCACTGTCTCCGCTCTCCTCTGTTTTGTCTCTGTCAATTTTAATGTTTGATATTAATCCTTTACGTCAGCAATGATGTGTCGTGATCAGTAGTAAAATAGTTGAAGGAATCATTTGCACAGAATTTCTTGCACTGACTACAGGCGAGGTAGAAATTCATTTTCTTATGTGTGCCTCGGTTGTTGAACCCCTTTCGATTGCATGCGGAACGATTACATTATGCTGAATTATTTGTCGCACCGTAATCGCTTAGGACCGAAGTTGTTGCATTTCCGATCAGTTGCGCCGGTGATTCGTGGTCGAAGCAACGCTCATGGCGCGTTCGCTCGGGTAATTATATAGCTCATTTATGATTATTGGCGCTGTGATTCGCACTCATCCGCAGCTGTTACGAAGAATCTCTTGATTTACAGCAAAAATATTGACTCGGTTGTTTCGATCACGAACTAGTGAATTATTAGTTTATATTTGGATTGAAATCTAATCTAAGTGAAGTCATTAAATTTTTGCGCTCACTTGTAACGGCTTATAAATTAGAAATCAAGTGATTTAATATACTTCAGCTCCAAGCAACGCGATGAATAGACGTGATGCACGAATTCATACCAAGGTATAGGCACTACAAAATTTAAATCGGGAAAGCCAGGGTGAAATACATGTGTCAGCAATTACAGTAGTTAATCTAGACGCACGAACCTGCGTTACCGGAACAGAGGCGATGAAAGAGTCCACAAGTACATCTCGAGAGACAGTGAGTTTCTGCCATGTCACCTTGCATGATTGGCCGATGATATGCCCGTAGAGGTCGTTTGCAGCACGCAAGTCAGCCAAGAATGGGCTTAATTGGGAATGCGGTGTGTCGTCAATAAAGAGACTTGTTAATTACTGTCGATTGATGAACTTGGGCCAGAGGAGAATATGCTCTGCCAAAGGCAAGTGAGACGAAGGCATCAGAGTTGTCACCTCCAGAAAGGAAGTCCCCCCAATACCAGCAGGTGGGTGAGCTTTACCAAAAATAACGTTTTCGGGCAGAAGTTAAATCTTGTGATCCGATCGAGCAAGGAACAAGAAACGCTGTGATGTCTCTTACACAGATACAAACTTTGCTTCGCTAAGTGGTCTGCAAGATGAAATATCATCAGATAGACATGGCAAATTATGTACCATCGAGAATAGTTTTACCAGTGAATGCCACAGGCACAAAAATGATGCGGACCCGCTCTACTGATTTTTTGAAGCGATTTTGATCGTTTTCTGTGATGATGTTCCAAAGAAAAGGAGCATGTGGACTTTTTTAGTTTCGCAGGCAGAATGATGTTATTCAAAAGGATATGCATTCTTTGCAGAATTATATGACATTCTGCACTGCCCAGTTCATTCTTAGTTCGTATCAACGTTAGATCTTTCCTTTAACTACAGGCAATTATAAATTCTTGTCAAAGATAAAAAACAGCGTTCGTAAGGCCAGTCTAATGTGTAATATCTTTCTCTGGCACCTGCATAATTTCACTGCCTAGTTGACAGTTTGTTGGCAGGCGTTAAATGCAAAACTTGTACTGTTTATCTTTTTTCATCAATGTTCAATGAACACCTTCGTCATTTCCAAATTGTGTTAGGTGCCGCTGCGATAGCTGATCTGTCACATCCACCGAAGAAGTACTTCTTCGCACAGGAAGAAAAACTTAATTAATCTGAGACATATCGCCAATGCCGAAGGACTGAAAAGAGGCCCAGAAAAGCTCTATGCGTAAACACCATAGCCAAGGCTCATGAACGTGAAGCAGGTGCGGAGATTTCTCGGTCTTGCGTTTTACTATAAACTTTTTGAGGTATTCTCATCGGGGCAAAACCACTTATTGAGTCCTTGAATGATGAATACGCGATAATGATGAATATAGAGGTAGCAAGCGAGACTTTGAGACACTTACAATGCTATTTGGAATAGTGTTTATTTTGGCTCATTATGATGAAAAGGACGAAACGGTAGTCTGTACTGATACCAACAGAATTTAACTGAAAGTAGCATTTGTACAAAAGTAAGGTAGGAAGAAAGCGGGAGCATCTTACCTTACCCGACGATTCTCCATCACTTGAGAGGAGTGGGCATTTTAATGAAACTGAAGCGCTGAAGCAGTACATTCCTGGGCGGAAGTTCGTGTCGAAAACAGATAACAATGCCATTAGCTCGATAAAAGGACATTCCAAGCAACTACTTCTAATGAATCTTTGCTGCCATAGAAATCACGCATACGATTTAGCACTGTTGAGTAAGCATAAATGTCTTTCGAGAGCTCAGGTCACTTTTTCGACTATGCTTTCACAGATGCCTTGGACTCCATGACGAAGGCGGATATGATCTTATCTCATAGCAACAGGATATACGATTATGTCTCCTCTTGTCCTGGTATCACAATAAAAGTTCAAGGAAGACGATGCGAAGCAAAACGGTTTCGGATTGCATGAAACGGGACTGTAATGGAAAACACTGGCACCGCTCGTCTGAATTTATTATCGTTGCATGCAATTCTTCATCGGTAAGTGATCTTAGCCGCTACAATGGTGCAATGAGCGGATATGGGGACAAGAAAAAAGAGAATGCAAAGTCATGCAGTCATTTTGATGTCAAAACTGCCGCGATCTGCGCTGCAGTATATGCGAAGTTACGCGTATTGCCAGATGAAGAAAGTGTCAAGAGGGAGAAAAGAAAAAGTACAGAGCTGCAATCGATAGTCCCGCAAGATGGGGAGTGGATCATTTGGGTCCATTTCGTAAGACAACAACCAGCATACATCTCGTGGTTGTTGGTAAACGAGATTGTACTTTTTGAAACAGTACCGGCACTGTAAGTCTCAGGAAGTTACTGATCGAGCGCCAGGATTATCCACAGAATCCCTGAAAGAAATTCTTGATTCGTAGAAGGCTTTCGGTTTCTTTGCTACTCGCTCTGAAACAAA